CGATGCACTTGTTACTAGTAGCTTCTTGCTCCTAGCAGCTTCTTGTTACTACTAGTAAGGCACTTGTTACTAGTAGCGATGCACTTGTTACTAGTAGCGATGCACTTGTTACTAGTAGCTTCTTGTTACTTCGCTGTTCTTTTCCTTTTCGTCCTTTGCTTTTTAGTTACTTTGCTCTTCAATCCTTTCCTTCTAGTTACTTTGCTATAGTATACGTTCGTATACGTGATTCCCGCTTGCTTGCGGTCGCCGTGCTTCAGGATCACACACCCCGGCAGCGAGCTCCACAGGTGCACAGATTTGTGACGCTTCGGGCGCTGCAAATAGCTACTAGTTAGTTGCTTCTTTTGTTTCGTTCGTAGCTTCTTGTTCCTAGTAGTAAGGCCAGAAGCCCCTAGTAGCGTCCTTGCTCCTAGTAGCGATGCCCTTTGTAGTAGTAAGGCCAGGAGCCCCTAGTAGCGTCCTTGCTCCTAGTAGCGATGCCATGAGCCCCTGGTAGCGTCCTTGCTCCTGGTAGCGATGCCAGGAGTCCCTAGAAGCTTCTTGCTCCTAGTAGCGATGCCAGGGGCCCCTAGTAGCGTCCTTGCTCAGTAGCGATGCCAGGAGCCCCTAGTAGCGTCCTTGCTCAGTAGCGATGCCAGGAGCCCCTCGTAGCTTCTTGCTCCTAGTAGCGATGCCAGGAGTCCCTAATAGGTTCCTTGTTCCTAGTAGTAAGGCCAGGAGCCCCTAAGTAGCGTCCTTGCTCCTAGTAGCGATGCCAGGAGCCCCTAGTAGCTTCTTGCTCCTAGTAGCGATGCCAGGAGCCCCTAGTAGTGTCCTTGTTCGTAGTAGGCCAGGAGCCCCTAGTAGCGTCCTTGCTCCTAGTAGCGATGCCCTTTGTTCTTAGTAGCTTCTTTTCTAGTAGTAAGGTGCCTTGCTACTAGTAGCTTCTTGTTACTACAGGTGAAAAGATTCCCAAGGAAGCTTCTAGCTACTAGTAGCTTCTTGTTACTAGCAGTAATGCCCTTGTTACAAGTAGCGACGCACTTGTTTCTAGTAGGGAGATATTGCACAGCGCACGGCAGGATGCTCCAATGTGGCAACGTCTGAATGCGATGAAGGCAAGCTAAAAGTCGATCGGGGAATTGTGAATCAATCAAAGCGATTCGTCCTCCAGGGCGGCTCAAAGCGTGTGATTCTCAGATCTACGGTTGCTGGGGCGTGTCGTTTGAAGGTTGTGGGTTCCCTTTGTGCCCCTTTCCCCCCGCTTCCGCTGTGTGATTTAAGAACTTCAGGTTGGCTCAACGACGGCCTTTCCTCTCTGAAATTCTTCTCTGCTGGGGATGCTTTGGAGAGTGAGGTGCTGCGCTGCTGCGCTTTGGAAAGGAAGTCTGATTGAAGCAGCATTGCAGCTTCGACCCCATAGCCATTTAGGCTGAGACGCCGAAGTACAGTGCATCACGTTATATACATTAAATCTGAGTTTGTTTGATCCTCCTGAATTTTAGAAGTGACGCAGTTTTCAGACAGAGAGCAACTGACGAAAGCACCTGCGGGCCATGCCATGGACTTGGGATTCGCCATCCCCTGTGAGTAGCTCAACATGATGAACTGAGTGGAACATGATTAAAACTGAGGCAGAAAATCAATTGCTAAGCACTTGCTGGTGAGGCAGAAAGCATGGAACACATGGATGACAAGATCCTGCAGAAAATCAACGAGTCGTGCCGAGTAAAGGTCAAAGGGGGGCTTGTCCGGTGGAGAGGACTTGTCGAACGACAGACCAGTACTGCATGAGCTGGGCCAATCCCTTTTGTTGAAATTCATGGTGTAATGGCAGCTAGTGTAAGTGCAGGGAAGCATGTGTGCGTGACACTAGCTTGCTTCCAAATTCAACTTCCAGGATTTTTACAAGTTTTGGGTGTGGGGCCCTACGATAGTTTAGAGACACGGTTACGGCGTCAGGTATGTCCAATCCTTGATGAAGATGATGTCCTCCAAAGTCTTGAAGGCGAGGTCTGGGAAGCTATGTGTTCTTCGGTGAAGAAATTCGCTCAACAAAATTCACCAGTTCAGTTGCTGTAGTTGCTGTATTTTGTCATTTTGTAATGGTTTTGCAGTGTTTTTCGAGTGGGTTCCATCATTCCGGGATGGTGTTTGTTGCTGCTCATTTGCTGTGTAGTATATAATCACACTGCGACTGTTTCGGGGTATGCTTTTTGGATCCCCTTGGAATTTCCTCTACAAAATGATGGCCTTAAGGCTCTAAATCAGCATGTCATCTTGTAGAGAACACTCTTTTGCCCTCACACCCCGTCATTTTGTAAAGACCTGGCCCAGCATTTTGTAGAGAATTGTGTTTTTTAAGTTTTCGACGTGGGCAAAAATACCCCGCGCCCGTCATTTTGTAGAACAAGTATTTTCTGGCATTTTGTAGAGAGAGCCCTTGATTGGAGCATATGCTATGCATTTTGTAGAGAGAGAAATCTCATGTTGTGGAGGTTGGTGATTCAATCAACATCATTTTGTAGAGAATGCGTTTGATGTCTGTCATTTTGTCGAGATGTGGAATGCGTTTTGATGCATTTTGTAGAGATGTGGAAGAGACATGTTGTAGAGAATTGTTGCGCAATGCATTTTGTAGAGATCTCAGTCGAATGTTGAAGTAGCATTTTGTAGAGAAGGTTGTTAAAGCGCCTGATGTCATTTTGTAGAGAGTTTGGATGATATAAGTCGGGCTAACGCCCTGGTGTCGCCGACCCCCTTTTTTTGGGCAAGCCTTACCAGTGCAGAGTGCAGGTGTCTTAAGGTAACTCAATGAGAACAGAAATCTTATGTGGAAGAAAAGAGGAGCAGCTGGCTTGATTTTGATTTTATTACGACGACAAAGTGTGAAAACATGGCCTATCGATCCTTTAGGTTTGAGAAGTATTGAGCTAGAGGTGTCAGAAAAGGGGTGCGACGGGTCGTGTCGCACGGAACCATGCGGAACCTTTGTCGTGCACACGTGCGGTTCTCGTATGTTCTCGTGCTTGTTGTTTTGTTCGATTGAAACGCCCGTCTTAATGGAGCGGTTTCGCTTCCATGACTCGCAGATGAATCAAGGACTTGCTGAAATTGTACACGGTCGACCTGATTGGTGGATATTGGTGGTCTTAAGGTTGGCCTCAGTTTTTCGGACCAGACTACGGTGCAGAAAGCCGCCACTTTCTACGAGGGGTTGCTGTTGCTCAGCCACAGCCGCCGTTGTTTAGGGGGTGCTGGGACGAGGTGAGTCATCCTTTCTGGCACACAGGCCCATCGGGAGAAGTATGCAAGCAAAAAGAATGGTGCAGTGACGGCCAAAACACAAAAAGGAACAAAAAACAATAGACCCACCAAGTCCGTGCCGTAGCCTAAAGCGCGGGGCCAGCGGGCTTTGAAGGGCGCCCGTTGCCCGTTGCCTTCGGAAGCCCATAAGAAGAGGTGCTGCAGTGTCAGACCCTGCCAAGAAGCATTTCAAGGGCACCTGGCACGGTGCCTTCGGAAGCCCATAAGAAGACTCTGCCAAGGGGCATTTGAAAGGCGCCTGGCATGTTGCCTTCGGAAGCCCACAAGAAGAGGTGCTGCAGCATATGAAGGGCGCCTGGCACGTTGCCTTCGGAAGCCCAGAAGAAGGGGTGCTGCAGTGGCAGACCCTGCCGAGAAGAGGCCTTTGAAGGGCACCTGGCACGTTGCCTTCGGAAGCCCATAAGAAGAGGTGCTAGGGCACCTGCATGCCTTCGAAGCCCATAAGACGAGGTGCTGCAGTGTCAGACCCTGTGCTGCCCTGTAGGGCAGCCCAAGGGATGGTGTCGCCACGCACCTATTTCTGCGCGCAAAAGCGGGCGGAGAGGCTGCTAGACCGCAGCTGTCAACGTCACTGTTGGAACCCTGTAGAAAAAGAGGTGCGGCAGCAGCCCAGAGACTCAATCCCCAGGCTCCCGGCAATCTCCTTCGCCACGGCTTTACCCAATCTAGTTTCACACCAAAAATGACCAAAAGATTGGCCGGGTGAAGGACCGCTAACAGGCCTAACATCGCCTTCGGAACTCCCATAGGTAGCTGCAGGGGCGCTCCGGAGGTCGCCACAGCAAAACACACGCCGGGCGAAGAACGGCTGACAAGCCTAACGTCGCCTTCGGAGCCCCATAGGAGATGAGTGGCCCTAGGTAGCTGCAGGAGTGCTCCAGAGCTGACCCGCTGAGGCCATGAACAGCTGCAGTCCTTCGCTCGCGCCACACAAGGCCCAATGCCAACCGTTTACCCTGCGGTGTCCCAGGGGCCGCCCCGCCTAGGCCTAGGCGTCAGCTAGGCCGGGGTCGGCGGATATTTATTTGATTCCATTTGACAGCAGGAAAGCATGCTCCAACCCAATAGCGATGGCCTCCAGCCTACTCGCAATGGCCTCCAGCCTAATAGCAATGGCCTCCAACCTAATAGCAATCGCCCTCAAACCTAATAGCACTGGCCTCCAGCCTAATAACCTGATACAATATGTTGTGGGAAATGAGGAGATCCTAATCTTGATTAGTTGTGTAAAATAATGCGAGCATCCCCTTTAAAATCCCCCCTACAGATTAGTGCTACCTGGGTACTCCCGAGCACCCATTTTATAGCACTATAGAATTGAGACACTCAGGTTCCTTGCTCTAAGACCACGAGATACCACGGGAAGTTTCCGACAAGGGTGCAATTTGACCTAGTTGACCTGGGGGTGGTGATTCTAAAGTGATAGAACCCTGAGATCTATGTTTCCGTGAGCTTTGTACTGGTGACATGGGGACTTTGATTTCTTAGTGGCAGACATGTTGATGGTCATTGACTGATTAGGATTCTATAGAGGAACAACCTTTGAGTGCTTTTTTTGTGACATTATTTTTTTGAGTGCTCTTTCACCGTTTCTCTGTTCTTTCAACTTTGTGCTCTGTCAACTTTCCCGTGGAAGGCTCATGATGAAAAAACTTTCCCGTGGAAGGCTCATGATGAAAAAGCAAGCGCATAAAGCGTTATAAGGAATCGGTCTGTGAGATGGGGGTTGTGATTCTTTAGTGTTGAAAACTTCATACATACTTTCCGTGAGCTTTCACTTCACGACATAGGGGCTTTGATTCTATAGCGTGCGCATGAGTTGGGGGGCATGATTTTTTAGAGACCCCCACATCGGGGGCGTGGATCTATAGTATGAAATGGTGCTACCCAAGTAGCCATATGAATTTCAAAGGGGATATGCGAGCCATCTTCTACAAAATGACGTCGAGGCCCGGAGGTGCCATTTTGTAGATAAAAGAAATTTGTACAAAATGACGAGCGCACCCCCATTCATTTTGTAGACTATTCAGACGCAGTAGTCAGGGGTCATTTCGGTAGACACGAGTGTCAAGTTACGAAAGCCAGCCTTCGTAGAAGGCGCTAGCGGAGTTGTGTCTGGCGAACGAAGTGAGTAGTTAGGGGGTCTGGGGGGGTGGCCCGAGAAAGGTATACGTCAACTCAGCACATGCTGGGGGAGGAGGGTGCTGCGAGGGAAGGTTTTTTGAGGTTGTGTTGGAGGTGATTTTTGAGGGGTGGTGATGCAAGAAATGCCAAATGCATCATTTGCATCATCTGAATGGAAAGGTGTAGTTGGCACCTTGCAAGGTAGAGAGACCTAGGGTAGCTATAGTGCAGCTACCAGGTATAGTACTTCAAGTTCCCTTTCCGTCAACCGCTTGAGAACCTCTACACACGCACAGCAATCCACAGCCTTGAAGTCTCATTCGTGCTTTGAACTTGTATAGGTGTGTAAGAGGTATAGCAACATACTATTTATACGGACCCAGGGTAGCTACAAGTAGCTACAGTTCTGGTATGGCGCGCATGAGGCTTCAAAGCTGTGGTTTTCAAGCTAAAGTCAAGGTGGCCTGAGACCAGGGTTTGCTGCCCTAAAACACTCTGTTCAGGCCACCTTGAAAATAAAGGTGTAGTTGGCACCTTG